ATTTAAACGAAGAGGAATGTTAATTTCCTAAAATGAATGCAATAAATAAAAACTCCTCAAACAAAATAGATGAGATGAGAGCTCATTCGTAAGTAAGTAAGATTGAAGAATAACCTATACCAATCCATAGAGATCTTTTAGAAAATTAGAGATATACTTAGGGTTATCCTAAAGAACAAACCACTGGGGATGCTTAATATGTAATAAACACCAGGGTATCATTAAGAAATGAATATTAGTGTCTTGGTCTTTATTTCACAAATAGAACCAAATATTGATGTGACTCAAATTTTAGAGATATTTTATTTATATTATGAGGGATTTATGTTTTTAGAGATATTTTATTTATATTATGAGGGATTTATGTTTATCTTACTGGATCTTTTATGTATATCTTAGAGATATTTTGTATTTATTTAGGGGAATATTTGATGTATATCATTGAGAGTTTTGTTGGAGTAAAACTCTTATAGTCTCTCTATATATAGGTTTGCTAACCTATTAATGATGTATTCTCTTTTAATCATGATGAAATACTTTTTTGTTGGTCTTACTAGTGGAGATAGGCACACTGTCAAACAACGTTAAATTTTATGTATTCTTTTCTATCTATTTTTACTTTATTGTGATTATGTACAATTTAGGACTAATTTCCCCCATTAAGTAGTATCAGAGTTTAGTTTAGAGAGAGACAGCCATAAAAAATAGATATGTGATTCTTTTTGTCACCTCCGGCTGACATCTATTTTGAAATTAAAAAGTGGTGGTAATAAGTCAAATCAACAATAACGACGACTGTTGACAGAACTGTTTGTAGATATCTAATGAACAACTACTCCCTAAGCAACCAGGCAGAAGAAGACAGCCCATGCACATGACTTGAAGAAGACAGATATATGCGGTATTGGATCTAGTCTTTCCAAAGAGTGAAGGAGTTGTGCACAGCTGGAGAAAAAATGATAGTCGTGCGATGATTAGGTGAAAGAAGGCAGACCGATGTGCGACTAGCTCTGCGATCGACATAATAGAAGATCGGTTCGCAAAGGCCACACATAGGTGTTGGCATGTTGGGCCTGCCCTGGAAGAAGGAGCAGCATATTTTTTGATGCGATTTCACTAGATTCATGTTGGATTTGAGTACATACTTGGTTCTATGGTGATTCTTGATGAGTTAGCAGTGGCAAGTGATGGCCAGTGGCGTCGCATATGAGTATCGTTGGTAGTGTGTGCATCAGCATATGGGGTGCTCCAGTTGTTGCGTGATGGTTTTTTGCATAATGGTGCTTTCTTGTGAGTGGTTTCTTATTTTTAACAGTGATATTTTTGTTTATTTATTTCTAGAACACAACTTAAGGATTCAAGATGACATCCATAAAGTATGAGGTAGAGAAGTTTGATGGTGGAACGAGTTTCAGTATGTGTAAAATTAAGATGAAGTCATTCCTAGTTTTACAAGGTTTGTGGGGGGTAATTGAAGAAAAAGTTTATAAGAATATAAGAGAGTTGGATAAGGTAGATATGCGGGATAGAGTCTTTTATGTTATCTTTATGAGTGTGACTAATGATGTTCTATGAGAAATTGCTGGAGAAAGTTCAGCTTCAGTTATGTGGAAGAAATTAGAAGAGTTATACTCTGTAAAATCTTTGACGAACTAGCTTTATTTGAAGAAAAGACTGTATAATTTGAGAATGAATGAAAGTATACCCGTTAAGTGACATCTTGATGAATTTAATTACATAATTATTGACCTGAATAACATAAATATCAAGATTGATAATGACGATAAGACATTTATTGAATTGTGTTCACTACTATTTTCTTATTAGACTTTTTTAATATTATACTATATGAGAATGTTAGTATTTCACTAGATGGTGTTAGTAATGCACTAAAAAATAAGGAGTTGAAAAAGAACTTTTTATAGTATAGTACAAAAGGGAAAGTTTGGTAAGTAGGGGAAAAACATAGACAAAAGCCAAATTTAAATATAGAGTTAGAAAGATAAACTATTTTGAGGGCCTGGGAGGAGAGTAACTTTAAGAGAGACTGTCTTAGGTTGAAAAAAGAAAAGAAGTAGGAGGGTTCTACTAATATAGTCAACAAGAATAATTCTGATGATTGTGATAGCAGTATTATTGGGGAAGTCTTATATGTGAGTTCAGATCATAGAAATAATTTTTGGATTCTTGATTCTGGTGCTACATTCCACATGTGTCCACATAGGTATTAGTTTGCTATTTACAAATAGATGACTGATACTGTGCATACGAGAGATGAGAGTCCATTGACTGTAGTTGGGATTTGTACTATCAGATTAAGAATGTTTGATGGTGTTACTATAACTAAGTGTTGGCATATTCCTCATATGAAGAGAAATTTGATTTCTCTTTCTATATGGCGTCTCAAGGTTATAATTACCATACAGAGAATGGTATCCTCAAAATGTGTAAAAGCTCCAAGGTACTCATTTAGAATCTGAATTGTATGTTCTTCAGGGGAATACAATTTTAGGGAAAACTGTTGTAGCATCAGTGAACAATAATCAGAATTAGTTATGACATATGCTTTTGGGTCATATGAGTGACAAGGGGTTATCAAGTTTGAACAGACAGAGTTTGTTGAACGAGTATAAAAAAGAAGCCATGGGATTCTGTGAACTCTATAAAGAAGGAGCCATGGGATTATGTGAACTCTATATATTTGGGAAGCAGATCAGAGTGTAATTCAAATTAACAGTGCATAAAACCATAGGTAAATTGGATTATATTCATTCCGACTTATGGGGTCCTTACAGAGTTCCCTCAAGAGTGGTGTCTAGTATTTAATGACATTGATTGATGATTACTCTCAGAAGGTTTTGGTGTATTTTCTGAAGTCCAAAGAAGAGGCATTTCCAACATTTGTCAAATAGAAGACCATGATTAAGAAGCAGATAGAGAAGAATATTAAGTGTCTTAGTACACGAGCTAAAATGCAAAACCTTTATAGCTTTATTAAATGATTATTTAAAAATAAGATGGACAAAAATAGAATAATAACTAGGAATATAACCAAATTGGTTACAAAAGGTTAATAAGGAGGAATGACTTGATCTTGTAGAAGCTTTTGAATTAGTAATAAGAACATAAGCCATTAGAATGCTCTTAGACTTTAGATACTTCAAAGGCTTCAAATTATTTCATATGGATGTTAATTGTTTATTTTTTAATACATTTATAGAAGTTTATTCTTTAATATACTTGTAGAAGAAAAAGTTTATGTTGAGTAACCTAAGGATAATTGATCCCATCATCTAGAACATGTATACAAACTCATTAAGGCTCTGTATGGTCTCAAACAAGCCTTAAGAGCTTGGTATGAAAGAATAAGCAAATTCTTACTAGACAAATGATTTAGTACAGATCAAATAAACAAAACAATGTTTGCTAAATCTAATAGTGATAACATCTGAATAGTCCAAACTTATGTGGATGAAACAATCTTTGGAGCCACCAAGGAAAAGCTACGTAAACAAATCTCCATATGGACAAATTCAAAGTTTGAAATGAGCATGATGGGAGAATGGGAGAATCAAATTACTTTCAGGGTACACAAAAAGCATTAAAGAACAGACAATTTTATTAGATAATCTAAAAATATCAAGGATCTTTAAAAAAAAATATGTACTACAAAATGTTAAGCCTAGTTTTATGCAAATGAGTATGTTTGAATTAGATAAAAATGAAAAAGAGAAACTAATAGACATCAAGCTCTACAAAAGAATGATTGATTCACTATTACATCTCATTACTAGTAGACCATACATTATGTTTAGCATGTGCATTTATATTGAGTTTTGATCAAATTAAAATGAATATTTAAATATTGGGTTGACACAAACTTTAGGATTGTGGTATTTTAAAAAAAGCGCACCAAACTTTATTAGTTATTTAGATGATAACTTTAGCGGGTGTAGGATAGATAGGAAAAACATAAGTGAAACTTATAATTCTTATGAAACATGCTTGTCTCTTGGTTCTTTAAGAAATAAAACTCATTAGTTTTTTTTTTTTTTTTTTTTATGAATGTTTGCATACTTTTTTGAGACTTTGAAAAAAAGAGTTAATTTTGCACATATTATTCTTCCACTAGATTGGACATAAATTATTTGTATCTTTATCTCAACATCATCCATTATCATCTACGCTAATTATAGACTCAATAAACTTATATCTATTTAAGATAAACGTATATCCGAACCTCTATTCTTAAACTTTGGTTAGACGGTGACGTGGCTCGAGGCCAAACTGGAGTGTGGGACCTACATAATCATACAACCTTGCTGTCAACTGTAAATAAATAACTTTTCCAAACAATTAATAAAAAAAACTGTAAGTAAATAACATGCGCGCACCAAAATAAGCTCCCCTTGCTCCACCCCGTAAAACCATCTCCTACACCAATAACATCCTCCTCTTTCGCATCACTTTCCTATTTTCAGTTCCAATAAAACACACACCCAATTTAGTTTCTTTTTATATTTTATTTTGAAAAAAATTCATTAAAGACACAGTAAAATAAAATAAAAATAAAAACCAGAGAATATCCCAAGGGACAAAATTGAGTAAAAAAAGAAAGAAAAATTAAAAGGTTGAAATTTGACAGACTGTGGCACCTGGTTTATGCTAATTAAATTTTACAGTATATAATAAATAATGTCCAAGAAAGTATGTTACATATACATATAGATAAATATTAGGAACACCACGTAGCAGAAACGATTTTTGAAGACATTGAAAGCACTTCCGATCTGTTTCTCTTGTCGGTCTGTCTTATCTTTGTCTCTCTGTATTCTTTCTTTCCTCAGCCGCAGAACAAATGTCGGACTCTCTATAAATTTTCCTACACTTTCTCTTCATCTTTCATTCTTAATTTCCTTAAACTACAAACACGTAATTTTTCACACGAACAAAAACATGGGAGGTTGCGCTACCAAGCCCAAGGTGTTGGGGGAATCCAAGGAAGCTCAAGCTCCGGTTCCGGCTCCGGCTCCGGCGCCCGCGGCAGCAGTATCTGACCCCAAGGATGTCGTTGTGCTTGAAGGAGATGGTAGTGGTGACGATCGTGTTCAAGAAGGTGATAAAGTCAAGGAAATAGTTGAGGATGACAAGGTTGATGAGCATGGAAACAAGCGACGATCTCTCAGTCATCTCTTCAAAGAGGTAATCATGATAAATAGTTTAATTTTCTGATTTTCATTTTTTTTTTTAACAAATAAGTTTCGAGTTCATGAATCTGTTTGGATGTAGAGAAAATGGATAAGTCGAATTTGTTTGGATCTTTTATCCTTATGGTTGATACTAAACTTTCCAAATCATGGTGCTTTCTATTCCAAAAAAAAAAAAAAAATTCATGGTGTTGTTTGTTTCCTAGGAAAATTATTTGCTTTTTAATAAATTGATTGGGAAAGGGAAAGAAAAGTAAAGGCAGGAAAAAGAAAAAGAAATGAAATGATATTATCACTTACCCGTATGGGCCCTGCTGGGATTTTAGTTTGGTAGTTAAGATCTCACAATTTTAAAAAAGAAATCAAGGAAGACCATTGCAAAATTCTAATTTATGTGGTTGTTTTGATTTGTTTACAAAATTTCAGCCTTTTTTATTAAAAATAATTTTTCACTCTTTTTTAAATTTCATCTTTATTTTTATTTTTTTTCTAAATATTATTTTCTTTTTCTTAAATGTTTTTATATGTATATACATGTCTTAAACTTAAGAATTTGAAAAATAGAAATTTTAAATTACTTTCTCAACATGAAAATCTTTATATTCTTATTTTTTTTTTATAAAAAAAAATTTCATGTATATTCATGCAAGTATTCATCCACAAAAAAGTATGTAAATTTAAATTTTTGTGGAATAGTCAATTAAAAATAAAATATCTTTAAAAAATACCAAGAAAATAATTTTTAGAAAATAATAAAAATAATAATTTAAAATTACTTTTATGTTACATAACTTATATATTTATATTTGAATTAGTTTTTGGCGATTTGAAGTTGGTTGGGTTAATTATTTTTTTATTCAATGTTATGTTGCTTTGTGTAGATTGTTCATTTAGTTGGATATGGTTATTAGATTCTCCAATTAGTTTATTATATCTTCATCATTGATTTCACCAATCTGTGACATGCTATCTTAAAATTTCAACACCCATCAGCCTGATTTTTTAATTAAAATGTTTAAAGCAATCAAATTTAATTTTGTTCAAAAAAGTCATTTATATTAGGTAAAACCAGATTTTTGCATGTATTTATGATACGTAAATAATATAATTCTTTTAGTTATATAAAATATAAAATAATATATTATCATATTAAATAAATAGCTATTATAATGTATAAATCTCATCATTTGTAATTAATTAAAACAAATCACATGGAAATATAATCTTTTTTAAATTCTATTTTTATATTTAAACTATTTAAATAAATAATCATTATAGATTATGACATTAAATAAATATTATTATATTTTCATATTAAATGAATTAATAGTTATTATTTATGGAATCACATTAGTTTTATTTTAATATATTTAAAATTATTTTTATATTATAAAAATAAATAGATAAATATTATATTAAAAATAAAATTATTTCAAAAACCGAGGAATTGGCACCTAGTAATTTTTGGTTTTCCTTTTACATATATATATATATATATTGATATTGATTCAAAATATCCATCCTAAAGTCTAAACTATGAAATTATTCAACTTTAAATTGAGAGATTACTTATTAGATATGTATAGATAATGGGGAGACTTTTATTCAATATCTCTAAGAAAGAGATAATAAAAACAAAATTTAAGGAATACCATTTATATTTGTGGTATTTCAACCTATTTGTGCTTGTATATATAATTTTTTTCAAAATTAGGAATCAAAACACAATGCAATTATATTAGTGCATTGGTGGTAACAGTTGAATTGATTTCACTCATGATGGATGATTTTACAGAATGAAGAGAAGTCCAAAGAGACTAATACAAGTGCTTCAGAACCCTTAAAAGAAGAGGTAGTAGACATTGAAAAAGCTATTCCATCACAAAAAAAAGTTAAAAAATCAACAGAAGTTGTTGATTCTGAAGAGAAGCTTTCAGAGCCATCAACGAAATCTCAAGTTAATACCATAGCTCATAAGACTTCAACCACGCTTGAATTCGTGGATGCCCTCGAGAAAATTGAATCAGAGAAAGTAGTCGAAGTTACATCTTCATCACAAACACAGAACCAGGAGGACAAGAAAACATAAGAATAAGATAAATGAAGAATTGTTATTATATATCACATCATACTACATATATATAATAAAAAGGAAAAACTTTGGGGTAGATATATACATAGGAGGGATGTCAATGCTTGTTATCATTAAACTATCTGCATTTTGTGTCATTTAATTACTCTTTCTTGAAACTTATATTTTTTTAGTTTTTTTTTTAATTGGATTGAAGGGTGTTTGAAGAGAATTTAGGAAAAAATTTTGAGTGCACTATGTTTCTTTCTTATAAAAATCTTTATATTCTTTGTAGTTTACTTTATATTTCTTGTTCTTTTACTTTGTTGAAGAGGCTTAGCTTAACAATTGGTTCATAATTCAACTTGAGTGAAATTATATAATTTCAAATGTTATTTCATTTTTTTTAAAGAGCCTTTGTAACGGCCCCAGAATTCTTAAATGAAATATGTGTATTAAAAAGGTCAAATGTGAAAGCGTAATAAAAATTTTGATTAACATCCCTTACACTAAAACCAAAAACGTGCTCAAAGTATAAAAGAACAATTAATTAAAAGAGAAAGTCGAAAATAAAAGCTATAAATATAACTACGGAGTCTTCAGGCGTCCCCTTTGCCGTCTTCCTGCGGAACGGGCTCGGAAACAATGTCTTCCTGATCTGAAATGATTAAATAAGGAATGAGCTACACCAGCCCAGTAAAGACATCACACTATCTCACCGTCACGGAGGTAAAAGTGAGTAGAAAACACAAAAAGACCAATGGAGTATAATTTACCACAAATTCTTTTATCAATAATAAAAGTTTTTACTATCCACTTACCTCGATGAAATTCATAAAATAATATACGAAAGCAATAATATTATTATCATCACGAAATCATATGAACTGTATAACATAATACTTATCACGCCTTTTGCAATTCAATTATTACACAACATATTTTTCCTCATTTGCCAGCCTACTAGTATCCATGGGGATCCATAGGGGTCCCGCTACCCGTGAACCCTTAACACTTGTAATCAGATCTCAGGACCGTCCCCATACCCTGTCCGGTATGGGAGCCAAAACACATAAAGTCTCCATACATCGTCCGGTATGAGAGACCACAATCCCGGTAGGGTTCCCTACGGACCCGGTCCGTCCACCATCTCCCAAGATATCTAGTCAGGCTGACCACATTATACAATTATCAATTTACATAACCTTTCATTCCCCTTTTCCTCAGTCAGCATCATCAATTCACACACAAACAAGCAAAGCAGTAATTTATGCCAAACAAGACAACATACAACATCGGGTTCTCAGTCATTCAACCCATAATCAATAAAACAGTAATATATGCACACGAAACTATGAAATAAAAATGTTAGACCTCATACTGCATTTAAAACTGTAAAATAGGCCAAACAACAGCTAACCGACAAACACACCAGACTCGGGCTCCATTAGCGACCTTAAACAATTTCACACATATGTTGATTCATGAAATACCATTTTTATCATTTATTGAACTTTAATACCGTGATAGGAAATAGGGTGAGGGGTCCTTACTTGTTTCGGAGTCCGAATACGGCTCCACAGTGCGCCTACAGGCTGTCCCTAATTTTTCCTGAATTTTTCCTGGGGAACTAAAATACACTACTGGTACCTGCACATGCCCCAAAAAATCCCAAATTAGACCCAGGGCCCCTTTCGGCCAATATCGCAATTCCGGCATGGCGGTCACGCCGTGCTTCGGCGACGGCGCCGCCGCTTGCGGCGGCGATTCGCCTCGGGTTGGCCGTTTTCGGCCGTTTCTGGCCGAATTCAGCCACACTTGCATCGGTCCCTGCGATAAAACAACCTAGGGCCCTCGGGGGGCCAAAAAATTACGAAAAACTGAAGCTTACCGGCGGCAGTGCTCTCGGGTGCGGCGGCTCTCTGGCGAGGTTCGTGTTTTGGTGATTTGGCTCCGATCAACCTGTAGAGAAAAGAATGGTGATCACGGTGATATAAAAATTGTATCAAACGGAGGCCGGGAAGGACCTCATCGGAGGCAAAAACCAAGGAGGGGCGCAACGGCGCCGCTGGGTTTCGACCGTGTTTTTTGGTCGTTTGACCGAGATTTTGGCTCCGATTTGGCCACAGAGGAACTCAGCATTGAAAAACGAGCCGGGGGTATGAAATTTACCTCGATCGACGGTCGAAAAACTCCCCGGTGCGGCGGCAGGTGGCGGCGGCCGGCTCCTCCGGCGTCTGGTTCGTCTTCTCCGGCGAGGGCAGGCGGCTAGGGTTTTTGTGGTCAGGTGTGGGGGTTTTATTTATACCCTTTTGCCTTTTGATCACAGCCATCCATTTTGATTAAATCTGGGCCGTCCGTGCTTGATTGAATCTGGGCCGTCCGTGCGCGTGCATCTAGGCCGTCCGTGCGCTTGTATCTGGGCCGTCAGATCGCGTGCACACGGATCGCCCTCGTGGCCCGTTCCCGGGTCGACGTGATTTTGTCATGCGGCAGGTCCTGGTTGGCCAGGACTGCTGACTGGGCCGCTGACGTGGCTGCTGACGTGGCGCTGACGGGGCGTAATTTTTTTAAATTGCATTTTGACCCCCGGTTTCTGATTTTCTTTTCAAAAATACCCCCAGAATCCTAATTTTTACCCTTTTTTTCCAAAATCAATTTCAATTAAATCCAAATAATATTTTTACCCCATTTTATCATTATTATTATTTTTATTTTTATTAAGAAAAATTTAAATTAAATTAAATAAATCAATTAAAATAATAAAATTATAAAATAAACAAAATAAAATTAATAATAATAATAAAAATAAAAATCAAGAAATTATTGGGCGTTACAACTCTCCCCCCCTTAAAGAAATTTGGTACCCCAAATTTGTCTCTTACTCTTGGTCGAATAAATGGGGATACTGGGCTCTAAATTCTGATTTCAGTTCCCAAGTAGCCTCCCTGGGCGTGTGGTTCTGCCACACGACCTTTACAAATGATATTTTCCAGTTGCAGAGTATTCTGCTCTCTCGGTCCGTGATACCGACCGGTACTTCTTCATAAGACAAGTCCTCTTGGAGTGGAAGCGGTTCATGAGCCAAGACATGAGAAGGGTCCAGGTTGTACTTACGTAGCATAGATACGTGAAATACGTTGTGAACTCGAGAGAGCTCGGGAGGCAGTGTTAGTCTGTAGGCAGCGGTACCAATCTTGTCTAAGATTTTAAAGGGTCCAATATATCGGGGGTTTAATTTTTCCCTCCTGCCGAACCTACTAATTCCCTTGAAAGGAGTGACCTTAA